CTTTGTAGGATGAAGGCCAGTATTGGATCTGTGCTGAATAAGAATGTATAATATTGTTGTTATTATCAACTTGTATCTACCAAATACCAGATGAACATTAGTTTGTAATGATTTCTTTTACAGAGCCATCAGTGTAGAACCTGAGTTGTTGAGAGTTAATATTAGCCCTATAAAAAATTTTTAGTCATTATATTCCAATTGCAATTAGGTATTTTAGCAATATTCTGATTATATTTCAATTAACGATCTTAAAATCATTGTATAAATTTTTGATACAAAAAGTATTCAAAATATATTCTGAAAATATTTCATATTTGAATTAGAAAATTCCATAATAAAATATATTCCGGAAAAACTACAGGAAAGAATCTGATTTTATATTTATGTTATATTTATATAAACTATATTCCGAAAAAACTACTTGAAATAATCTGTTTTCTATTTATATATAAATTAAAATTTTTAATAATAAAGTATATTCCGGAAAAACTATAGAAATCGATCTGATTTTAAATTTATATTAAAATTAAAAAATTTTAATAATAAAAATATTCTAGAAATATTGCAAAAAGTAATCCGGTTTTATATTTATATTTAAATTATAATAGTTTACTAATAAAAACTTGGTTTATTTAATTTTAAAACCAAATATATGCATATATTGTCTATATATATAAAAGTATTTTTACAGATAGTATGCAATTAAACAGTATAGTATAAAAACACTATAAATTTTTAAAATATTATTTGATTTTTTTTATCTATAATAATATATTTGTTTTTTTCTATTTTTAAAAAACCACATAACGATCAATAGCAGCTATATTAATAATACTCTTTTCACCAAAATATTGAAATAATTTTATATTATTTCTTGAAATTTCAATATTTCTCACACAATGTATACAAGCTAATAAATTTGTTTCATTTTCATATTTATGAGTAAAATAATATAAAACTTGACTATAAAAATCTTGTTCTTCAAAAACAATAGGAGCTTTTAGACAATATGCATTTTTATCAACAAGAAATTTTGTCTATAATAATTATAAAATATAATTATAAAATATTGGAATATTATATAATTTAAAAAGAATTACATACTGCTATTGAATAATTGTTTCTTCTTATATCTTCATTATTATTAAAAAATAATAAACTTATAATTGATCCAGAATTTGTTTTTAATTTGCTATATTTGTAAATTTTAGTAGTATTGATCTAAATTTTTTAAAATATTTTATTAAAAATATAATCTTAATTAAGTATAATTAATATAAAATATTTATCTCTATATTTTTTAATGGTAAATCAAATTCAGTTGCATAATATTGTTTAATTTTTTGAATTTTACCTTTTGTCATTATATGTTCTTTTGATAAAGAAAATAATTTTTCTTTATTAAAAGATTCATTAACAATTGATTTAAAAATTTGCTGATTATATTTATCATTATATTGTAAATATGCAAAATGTGTTCACAAGTTATTTGGTTTATTAAATTTTTATATGGATGCAAATGAAAGTTAACTAAAGGAATTAATATTCTACATAATCTTTCTATTAGAAATTGCCATGTTGCCCACGCTGGACCAGTTTCATAAATTGATTCTGCAATATGTAAAAGATAATGAAAACTAATAAGAGTTGCCTGTAAACGTTCAGATTTTTTTTGATAATATTCTCTAAAAAAATATATTAATTAAAATTTTAAAAATATTATTTTGAAAATAATTATATTTTAAAAACTTACTGTTCATAATGATTAATAAATTTGATAAATAGTATTTAAATTTCTTTAAGTTCATCTTTTGATAAAGTTTGATTAAGGCATAATTTTGTTGCTTTAACAAAATTTGACTATCTATCTAAATATCTATAAATTTAATAAAAATTAATATAAGAATTTTTTAAATTCATAAATTATTAAAAATAAGTACTTTTCTGGAAGATATTTATGCAAAAGAGGAATTGAATACAAAATTATCCAATTACACCACTCCTTAGCTTTAAAAGACGAGTAATATTTTTGAATATTAATAAGAGGTCTACCAAAATCTGTTGGCATTATTTTCTTATTATATTCAATATTTTTTCAATTTCATTCTATTTATTTTTTGAAATTTTGTATTCTGTATTATTTAAATTTTCATTTTTAAAAAATTTGCCTATAAAATGACGAAACATATGAGGAGCAATATTTTCAAAAAGTGCATGCATAATATCTACTAGAAATAATAAAGGAAAATTAATTGAAGATAATTCAAATAAAATACTATATCCATTTACACCTATTAATATAATCAATAAACAAATTAAAATAAGTTAAATTTTAATTGATATAATAATAAAAATTACCTTTTTTGCATTCTTTACTATCTAGAATATAATTGTTATGAGAGTGCATTGGTAAATTTTCTGGTTCATAATTATTATATTCTTGTAAAGATTGAAGTGGATAATACATATGTCTAGCAGTTTCAGAATAAGATCCTTTTATATAACAATATCGGCATCTATATTTAGCATTATGACCTGAAAGATACATAACTTTAGATAATGCAGGAATATCTTCTGACCATGAAAGAATATAGCTATGCAATTTAAATATTTCTTTTAATATTGCATCAAAACAAGTTATACCACCTATAAAATTTTAATTTAATTAATATTTAATACTATTAATTATATAATTTAAAATTTAAAAAAAATTACATTCAAGCTGCTTTAATTCATCAACTAATGGTCATAAAAAACCATTAAAATCTTTTGGAGATTTTGGTCTAGATATAACTATATTAATTATTAAATTTTCTTTTTTTACTCTTTTTGATGGTAGAAGATTTGTATTTAAAAGTAAAATTATTCAACAGTTATTTCGTTTTTGTTTAAAAATTTGATAGCTATCCATAGATACAATTAAAGCAACATCTCTATAATCTAAAAATAATCCTGATGCTACTAAAGTTTTATATCTATTGCCATCAAAAACATCACCAATTTTGCTATCCTCAGAAGAATATTCTTTTCTTGATGTATATTCATACCGATATCTAAGATTTTTTGCTCGTGATGGATTTTTATATTGTAATTTTAAGCTATCAGCTATTGAAAAATAAGCTAATTGTTTTCTAGATTTTTTGGATTTTTTTTTAGTTGTATATCATGACTCTTTACATATAGGACATGCATTAAGATTAGTATTTTGTCCAGTAAATATACAGCAAGAATTTCAACAAATATCTATAAGTTTTGGTTCAAGAGATACCAAATTTCCTAAAACTTTTTGAAGCTGATAAAGAGAAATATTAGAAATATTAAAAATTTCTAATATTTCATTAAATGCTTGATCAGAAATTGTATGTTTATCTTTGATATAAAGAATCTGAAGCCCTTTAATTATTTCATTTGGTAAATCTAAAATATAAAAATATTAATATAAAAATTTTTAAAGAAAAAATTTTTAAATAAATATTAAAATAATTACCATTAAATTCAGCATTATCAAAATTCTCTTCTGATTCACCCTCTTCTAATTCATCCACCTTCTCCAATTCATCCTCCTCCAATTTATTCTCCTCCAATTCATCTTCTTCCAATTCATCCTTCTCCAATTCATCCTCCTCCAATTCATCCTCCTCCAATTCATCCTCCTCCAATTCATCCTCTTCTAATTCATCCTCCTCCATTTCATTCTCCTCTAATTTATTCTCTTCTAATTCATCCTCCTCCATTTCATCCTCCTCTGATTTATCTTCTTCCAATTCCTCATTTTCTAAAACTAAAATATAAAAATTAATTCAATTTAAAAAAATTAATTCAAAATAATAATAAATTTTTTTTTATCTTACTTTGTTCAATAATTTCCTCAATATCCCCTATACTAACAATATTTATTTGATTATTTAAACTATTATTAGATATATTATTTGAAACTAGAAAAGAATTTTGAAGATTTTTTTCTTGCTTTCTATGCCTTGTTCGAGTAGAAATACTTAATAATTTGCCACAACCATTAGTTTCTTGCATGCAAATAATACAAGTGCATAAAACTTTATTATCCATAGCTAATTATTATAAAATTTATAAATTAAAAATAAGTATTTGAAATATCAAAATTTTTTAAGTTATTTAATTTTAATAACAATTATTAAAAAAACTAACCTTTTTTTTTACTAATATTTTTTGCAAAAAACAAACTCGTATTTTGCCAAGCTAATAGAAAAGCAACTTACAAAAACAAGTTGTGAAAAATTTAAAACAATTAATTTAATTATATAAGAATAATCTGTAATTAAAAACCTGTTATCGGACTTTTAATTATATTTTGTATATAGTTAGCTGCCTATAGAAAATTTATTATTATGATAAATTTTCTATAGACAGCTAACTATATACAAAATATAATTAAAAATCTGATAAAAAATTTTTTTGATAATGCTCATATTAGACTTATTATAATTACTATTTAAAATTATATAATTACTTACTATTTAATATAACCAATATTTCAATTATGCAAAACAATATATTATAATAAAAGAAATCTAGCAAAACAAATACAAAAATTAATACAAAATTTTTAATATCCTTTAATATTTTTAATAAAAGCAGCCCATTCATCTTTTCTAATATTCTCTAACCATGTAATACTAACATCATCAATTATATCTAGAAGTGCCCAATTATTATTGAGTGCCTCAAGTAATTGATGTAAATGAGGCCCTGCAGTTATAAAGGTCATCAGTTTTCTCGATGAAATATTTCCTACAAAGCCAGGAATATTAATGTTTAAATCTGAAAAACTTTTTAAGTCTTGACCTTTCTTTCTTTTTCTTACTTTGAAAAAATTACCATCAATAACATGTTTAATATTAAATGAATTGGTTGAATTGATTGATTGATTAATATTAAACATGTCATATAGTGATTCTTTCCTAGTAAGTAAAGCCCTTACTTGAGTTGCATACTTGGTTCCTTTTTCACGAGTTGTATATTTATTTATCCATTCTATTAAGTAATTATATGCTATTTCAAATTTATACAAAAATTGAAGTAATATTCTGTGAGAAACTTCAATATTATAAGTTGTAATATTACAATCAAAAATAAACTGATAACATGTACTCATTAGAGTAGAAAAAATTTGTATTTTTTCTCAAATGATTCATGCTTTGATGTATTACTGACCCTTAGTTCTCGTGATATTTTCAGCACATACCTTAGAAGCATTATTTGGTCTTGCAAATTTAAAATATCATCTGAATTTGATAATACAAGATTTTCATATTCCAAAGCTAATCTACTATTAATCTGAGCAGGATTAAATTGAACTACTGAAGTTTTACAAAGTATAGAAAGTTCCTTTAGATAATTAAGAAGACTTTTATAATAATCATCCTTTTTAATAAATGAATTTTTATCATAAAAGGGTGCTATTACAGTTAATTCACTTTCAAATGCTAATAGCTCATGGTATTGTTTTGAAACCTTTAATTTATTTCCAGTTAATATCTCTTTTTTTTTAGTGGGTTGAAAATTAGAAAAATAGCCAAGATATGAGTAAAGGTCTTGGTTAGCTTGCCTTTTACTAACCCTTTCAAAATTAGGAAGTTTAGTACTTATTACTGCCTTCCTAATTTTGATAGGGTTTATTGGCTCCAATACAATTTCATCTTAATTGTTCTTAAGTATTGCAATTTTTTTTGCTGAATTAATTTCAATTTTGTCAAAATTACTATCCTGTGTAATAGATACTAAAATTATATAATAATTTATAATATCCATTTTAAAAGTTTTTGTTGCAATACCTAAAATTAAAATTAAAATTAAAGTAAGTTTTTTTTTTTAAGTTAATAAAACTAATTAAATTATAGATTTACATTGTCATTTAATAATTCTTCTATCATCCTCTTCATCGCCTTTGTCACCTTCATCACCTTCATCACCTTCATCACTTTCGTCATCTTCATCATTGTCTTTGTCTTTATCACCTTTATTACTATCTTCATTGTCATCTTCCTTGTCGTCTTCTTTATCATCTTTATTACTATCATCATTGTTATCTTCCTTGTTGCCTTCTTTATTACCTTTGTTACTATTTTCATCATCTTTCTTGTCACCTTCTTTGTTAGCTTCATTATTACTCTCCTTACTGCTTTCATTATCACCTTTTATATTAGCTTTGTCATCGCCTTTATTACTTTCTTCATTATTGTCATCACCTCCTTTATCAAAAAATTAAATTTGTTAAATAAAAATTATTAAAGAATTAATATTGAATACAGTATACTTACAGCCAAAACAATAAAGTTCTTCATAACTAATTTTAAAATTTTCATCATCACTACTTGGATTTGTAGCCACCTCAAATAGTTCATCTAATTTAGCTGATAATTGGTTATGTAGCAAAGATGTATTACTGATTTCTTGGAAAGTAAAACTTTTTTTTGTTTTATCTGCAAATATCAATTCAATGTCTTTATTTAAAAACCGAATTTTATAAATGTGTTGATTCTTATTGTAATGATATAATATATATATAGCTCTCATTAAGATGTCCATGTCTGTTTTTTTTTTTTTTGAAGAAAAAAATTCATTAGTAAGTTACATTAAATAATAAAATATTAGTAAAAAATATTAGTGAATCAAAATACCTTTAGGAATTGCATATGAAAGTTAGAAAAAAAGTTTTATTTAAATAATATTATGTATTAAAGTTTAATATATTGTTACGTTGATTTGACTTCTTTAACAAGACCAACTAACTAGAAAGACTAATAACAGTGAATACTTTGTGTAATGTCCTTGTTACTATATTTTGTCAAAGTCTTTAGAGTGTTTTTGTAAAACTTAACAAAGAAGATTTAAGGTAATTTGCAATTATGAAAGAG